AAAAAACGGTGTAAATGAAAAACCGTTGTTCTGGTACAATATTCGATCTTTGAAAATATTTGTGACTTTTCATGCGATGAAATTTCGGACAATCTGGGGGCAACTCGAACCGAAATCCGATTAGCTTTCGTCATCCCAACAGGACTTGAAAACAACAACGGATATGTTCAAGCAGAGGGATTGCTAATTACTGCATGAAAATGTAAACAAATGGAATTCCTTTCAAATTTGAAACTTCGCTTCATTTTCTCACGATTAACTGGGGTGAAAAATGTGTATCTTGTTCAAACTGGTTTTAATCAGATGACTCCCGGCGATTCACCCGGAAAATCCGTGACACCCAGAGCATGGCAAGAAAGGTAACGGAACACAAATCGGAAATGAAATCCGAAGCCGACTCGATTAACATGTTTATTTGAATGTTTTTCTCTTCCTTATCCAACAACACACCGTTACAGGCAGTAAAAAATAAACAGCATATACAATTTCACAAAAAACGGTCTCTTAACAATGAATTCGCGATAAAGCACAACTTCTCTTCCTTTTTTCCCCCAGACGCTTTATACTAAGCACAAGAAATGGACAACAGTTTTTTTTCACATTTTGAATGACTCGATATTTCAGGGAAAAAACAGAAGTGACGCGGATTCCTAGATGTATAAAAACGTTTTCGTCAAATATAAATTCATCACCTTATTTGAGCTACCAGCACAGACCACGATATGAAGAAAACATACACGAAGATACAAAGATCCAATCAATGATTGAATCCATGAGCAATTAAAAGATGAAAAGGAGAAAAAGTGTTTCCCTCAAACGAAATCGATCACATGCAATAGAAAATTCTGTACTATCATACAGCTGTTTTCAATATTTTTCTTCCAGAATTCTCAACATGCTTTCAGAACTTTTCCCAACTCATCGCGCAATATGCAATCACAATTTTTGTTGTGCAATTTCGCTGAGGAAACAAACTGACAAAAGAAGTTGGTATCATTTGAATTCCGAATTTTAAAAATCATTTAAAATGAAGCTCTCATTGTATAGAAATGGTACAAAAGTACAATTCAACTCGACGAGAGGAAAAAAAAAACTCCTATAAAACCAAAGATTGAATTCAAACGCGAGAAAACCGTCCCTGATCATGTTCAATTTTGTTACAAACTAATCGCTCTTCTTCAATGGTCATAAAATGTCCTATGCATTTTTTGTGTGCTGATTTTCTCGCACAAAGGGCCAACAAAATATTTTCTCCGCCTTTGACTCGTTCGTACAGTTTGTTCACCTTTTTCTTCTCGACCGAATGAGCTTTTTTTAAATGAAAAAAAAAACAATTCCGCACTGTAGAAATAATATTTCAACGTATTTCAAACATTTTCTGACTCGTCTGTCACGGAGCCCCCAATAATAAGACTAAACTGCAAGTGGGGGACCTTCAAGGGCTCCGCGGAGCACCGGGCTGAGAATCTCTCGTATACTTATTTATTCGCTGGAACCGCTGTCGGAGTCCTGGCCATCATACGACACCTTGGCGACGAACCCGGAGTCCCCGTTGACGTAGTAGTCGACACGTTGACGACGGCCGTCCGGCAAGTCGGCAAAGTAAGCACCTTCCGTTCTGTCGCCATCACGACGTTCCCGGTGCCCGAAATCCGCCTCGGAGGAACCCGAGTCCCCGTACCCACGTCCGCGGGCCCGGGCCACATAGCCGAACTGGTACCTGGCCTGTTGAGCAATAATTACAAAAAGGGCCGTTACTGTGGGGATGACATTTGAGTTATTTCCTTTCGTCAGCTTTGTGTGACCCGGCGGAACCCGTTCGGGGAATCAAGGAAGGAATGCCGCGACCGTCTGTTCGAATTGGAAATTAGTTTCTATAACGCGGTCAATTGTTGATTGAAAAATATTTAGACCAAAAGGCCATTTGATATTTTCATGACCGAACTTGTGAGCAGTTTTTATAGTGACAACAACCTCTGACTCAAACGTTGACTAAAACTAGCTCAATTTTTATTTTCGTTTTCAAAATGCGGAAAAGAGACGCACGATTTACCCTGATGTAGACTACGAATGATCCAATCGAATACTTGAGACGGCATAATCGCGAAGGATAAAAAAGTTTTGAATTACAAACATCTTTCAACCATATCATCCCTGATTCAGAAACTGATTGTCAAAATCCTGTGAATTATACTATCTGGGTGAATGTATATTTCTATGATTTTTACGCCCGATTTAACAAGGCCTTCAGTAATCGACATGGAACAAAGAAATTACAGCTATACTCTAATAGTTTTCAAACTACACCAGAAACAGGGATTCAATTTATCGTTTAAATTGAATAGATATGAAAAAACAACCAATTGCTGTGATGGAAGAAATTTTTCGGCATTGTAAATTCCCTGAGTTTCATAGCTCCTTGGTTAATCTTTCGTGAGTTTCAATTTAATAATTTCAAATACAGTATATACAATTTAAAATAAAATTCAACCCATATTTAACCCGTCTTGGGTCGCATTTGGCGATTTGGGACATGCCATATTTATCCTCCCAGCAAAAATACGAACTAGAAATGAAAATGTTTTTTTAATGTGCATATATAAGCTCTGCAACGGAGTTACCTACAGTTTGCCCCATGATTTGACAAATTTTTTTAAAACATGGCTGCATTGATCATTCATGATAATCATGACAGGCCGGATCCAAGTCTAGAATGTCTATATGTCAAGTTCATGGTTCAATGAACGTACTGTATATACTTGTACATTATATTCTTTGGGTGGCGCTCTTAAACGAAACTTTTCGGGGAAGTTTTTCTTTTTTTGTGGTAATAATATTCGGACATAACCATAAATATACATGGTTAAGTAATGACAAAAAACGGTGGTGATTAATGTGCATGAATTATGATGCTTACGCGGTCGTTTCG